GGCTGCGAGCACTACTTCTGCCGCCGCTGCATCACCGAACACTGGGTGCGGCAGGAGGCACAGGGCGCCCGTGACTGTCCGGAGTGCCGGCGCACATTCGCCGAGCCCGCGCTCGCGCCCAGTCTCAAGCTGGCCAACATCGTGGAGCGCTACAGCGCCTTCCCGCTGGACGCCATCCTCAACGCGCGCCGAGCTGCGCGACCCTGCCAGGCGCATGACAAGGTCAAGCTCTTCTGCCTCACGGACCGCGCGCTGCTCTGCTTCTTCTGTGATGAGCCCGCGCTGCACGAGCAGCACCAGGTCACCGGCATCGACGATGCCTTCGAGGAGCTGCAGGTGCGTGGCTGGCAGGCGGGGGCGTGGGTGGGGTCAGTGTTCCCGTAGGGGTAAGGGCCACAGGCCGACTTAATGCCAGAGGGGCGTGGTTGCGGTGAGGGGCGGGGAAGGGGGCGTGGTCCTTGGGCATCTCTCTATCGAATGGGCTTGAGACAGATCTGGGGTGGGAGTCCATGCCTTGGAGACAGATCGAGAGTAGGGTGGGAACGATTGGTGGAGAGGGAATCACAGCTGGACCAGATGCTGGCTGAGGCAGAATGAGAGACATCGACTCCTCCGGGCTAGGGCAGATCCACTGTCGTAGCTAGCGCTGGGTGGGGAGATGGGAAATGTGCTATTCTAAATGCAGCCACAGTGGCAGGTTTGGGGGCATTGTGGGGTGCGGCTTGCTGCTCCAGGTGTTCATGGAGATCTAGAGTGAGAATCGGGCCTTGGTTGTGCCAAGCAGGTGGGGGTTAAGCTTAAGACATGCAAATTGCCCAGAGGGCAGATTTGGGTGCCAAGGAGTTAGATCAAGGTGTGTGAGGATCTAAGGTTAGGAATCAAGTTCAAATATGACAAGAGCCGTTTGGGATTTAAACCAGAGAAGGGGTCAATTGAGAGTGAACCTGGGAAATGAAACTTCAAGATTTGGAGAATTAGACTCAAAGGTGATTGGGGAAGGTGAAGACAGGCCAGGACTAGACACGCCCTCTTGATGACCACTGTTGACTGCCATCTACATGAAAATCTTCGAGTATTCCATTGGACACAACCTTCAACTGCAGCTAATCTCCCTTAAACCTCCCTGTTGTCACTGGCATACATGTGTGTGTGTTATGTATATACATATATATGTGCTTGTATAGAAAGGAATGCATATATGGAGAAATATAGATATGTACACATTTTGTGTGTGTAAGTATGTACACCATGTACATGTGTGGTACCCAAGAGGACAGAAGAAGGTGTCAGAGCCCTTGAAACTGGAGTTACAGATGATTATGAGTCATCACGGTCATGCTTGGAACCAAATCCAGGCCCTCTGTAAGAGCAAGAGCAATTAGCTGCTGAACCATCCCTCCAGCCTCAGGTGCTGCACTTTAAAAGGAAGCATTCCGACCGAGATCGGCTTTATTGGGATAATATTCCATATCTCCCATATCCTCCCTATTAGAGAATTCTCAGTTATACATTTACCTGCTTAGAGAAATCTTGAAGGAAAGACACCCACTTAAGTCTATTTAACAAAGTGATTCTCAAGCTTGTTTGAATCCTTTTTTACAAGCTGACCTATTTCAACCCAGAGATTCTCCTCCCTGGCTTTGGGGTACCATTAGTAGACAATTCTCCAAGGTATCAAGCTTTTTCCTTGGCAGTTTACTGCCCCCCAACAATGTGGTGGGTGAATGAAAGAGTAAATGAATGAATGACATAGCTTGGGCTAAACTGCCCCCCCAAAAAAAGCATGACAGTGTTGGTACACATTTTTAGTCCCAGCACTCAGGAGAAAGAGGCAGGAAGAGCTCTGTGAGGTCTAGGCTAGTCTAGTCTACAAAGTGAGTTCCAAGACAGCCAGAGCTACACAGAGAAACCCTGTCTGGAAAAGCAGAATAAAATAAAATAAATAGAGGCAGCTAACTTTGGAGTAGTGAGTTCTCCATTCCCTGCCTGGACCTTGCTGAGGCGCACTTGGAAAGAGCTTACTTGAAGTGTCTAGCCAGGGCGGGTAGGAACAACATCACCCGTTCCCATCCTTCCTCCTCCTGAGATCTTTTAAGAACTCGTGTGCCCTGCTGGTTGAACTCCCAGCCCCGCCTCTCTCACCTGAGAAGGAGACCTGCCTAAGTCCGAAGGAGATGTCCCCTTCGGACTTAGGCAGGTGGTGGCACAGAAACGTGCCTTCCCCTGAGGAGGCTATGCTGAGAGGTGGGGTTCAGGCCACACCCCACCCCCATCTGCTTCTGCTGCCTCCTGGGAAAGCGGGCTCATTAGTTACAGCTACACTGGGAATAGAGCAACCTCCACCCTCAAGGTCTGCTTCCCCCAGCAGCCAGTGAGTGGCCCCTGTGCTGGGGCCCCTATCCTGGGGAATGATGGGCGGGGCTGGCAGAGACTGGGGGATCATCTGGTGCAGAGCTCACTTGACAGATGGAGAACTGGTAGAGGGGGAGGAGGGAACTTGCCCAAGGTCTTGAAGGCAGAGGAGGCCAGGCTCACACAGCTGGGGTCTTCAGGACCCCTACCCACAATTTGGCCTGCAGCGTTTACCTTTATTCTAAATCTCAGAGACTACAGAGTGGGAGGATTAATAGCTTTGTCTTTATCCTCAGACTGCTCCACCCTGGCTGCCCCTGCCATATGCTGGCTGTGGGACCTTAGGAAATGACTTGTTATCTCTGAGCCTCTGGCCCCTTGACCTGTCATGCAGAACTGTTCTGTACCCTACATTTCAGGGGGTGCATCCTGGCGTACTGCATGAGTTCAGTCAAGTCACCCCAGTCATCTGAGTCTCCATGTGTCATCAATTACATTCCCAGGGAGGGTGTTGTAAGAGTTAACAGTTCTTGACCCACAGTGCCTAGAACTGTGGCTGGCACAGTCACCAAGCATGACTTTTAGACGTCTGTATTTATTCTAATGATGGCCTTTACACAGAAAGAGGGGCAATACGATATACAAGGCCAAATACCCCTCATCCTACCTGTGGATAAGCCTGGCTAGAATTACTGTATAGTTGTGTGAAAGTTGTGTGTGTGTGTGTGTGTGTGTGTGTGTGTGTGCCTGCATGCCCCCCCAACTACTGATTAGCACCTGGACCACAGAGCAAAGGGGAAGGAGGAGCTCATCTCCAAAGAGTTTGGGGTTTATGAGCGAAGGGCTGCCCACAGCTGTCCTTGTAATGCCTCACATGATCTTCATAGTACCTGCTGTGGGTACCATTGCGAATTATTCCTTTTATAAATGGAGGCAGACTCACAAAGGAAGTGATGGTGAGTGTCAGGGTCAGGACTTGGGACCAGTCCAACTGTGCCACATACGGCCTCTCCACTGCCTCTGAGGGCCTCCCCATCCGTCATCCAGAATTGCCTCCCACCCACCCTGCCTGTTTTTGTACCAAGTGCACTTAGCACAAGACCAGACTAGGGACACAGTCTGCTGATGCCAGCTGACACCACAGGGCAGGTGGCTGGGATGTCACCCTGATCAAGCAGAGTATCCGGCGCTCTAGCCATCTCAGGTTCCTGACCCCCAGAGAGAAGATCTGATTCATCCGAGCGTCGCTTTCCAGGCCTCATGTGATCACTGGAGCTTTTCCTAAGGCGTGCCTCACACCAACAAAGGCGGCCGGGCTGGGCCTTGGATGGGAGCCTGGCGAGCTGGGCACACTGATGACAGAGACAAGAAGCCAGCCCAAGAGGGAGAGCGGGGCTTGAGTGTGTGCGGCTCAAACCTTTGATCTGACTTTTTCTGCAGGGTGGAAGGGTTTCCTGCCCCTCTTTCTAATCTAAGATGACTCAGAGGAAGGGTGTTCACCTTCCAGGTAAAGAGCGAGAGCCACTGCCTGTCCCAAGGGTGACCATCACAAAAGTACTTATTTTGTACTCTGGAGACGAATGAGTGTTTCTGCCCTGGGGAAATGACCCCCTGCCATCACGTTTCCTGGGAAAGGGTAGGGTTTTATGCATCCAAAGCAGCCTGCACTGGTGTGAAGCTGACTGCGCCTGCTCTCCTCTCCATGAAGGCAGCCAGGAACCTGATTCAGCTGTACAGGTCACGGCGTGGAGCTGAGAGTTGAAGTTAGAGGTCCCCAGAATGTTCACTTTCTGCAGCGAAACCATCTGATGACAAGGTTGACAGTGACAAAATACACATCTGAAGAGCAGAGTGAGCTGGGTGTTTCGGATGTTCCTGGTGCTGTGTAATGGGCACAGTCCCTTGAGACAGCCCTTCCTTCCCTACGTCTAGAGAGGGTCAAGGATCCGCAGCGTTCTTCAGACATTCCCTGAGTCTGGGAGACTGCGAACCTACCTGGGTCCTCCCTATATATAAGTGGCGGGAGAGCCGGAAGGGACAGCCTCTTTATCTGTCCTCTGTCTCCTCCGGTGGTGACCAAAAGTACGAGAGCTTCAGACACTCTCTGGCCCATTCTGCCCATTTTACAGATAGGAAAATAGGCTTGCCAGAGCTCTGTACCCAGTAACTCTGAGGTCACAGTCAGGCTGATCACCCCACCTTGAGCTCTGCTGGACACAGGGTGGGCATGGAAGATTTATTTAGAGGTGACATCAAACTTGTATTCAAGACTGACTTTAATGTTTTGTCCTAGCCTCGTACCTGTGTGGCTGCTGAGGGTTGGTCCTGTGTTGAACCCAGGACAAAAAGTGCCTGATCATGGCCCTACCATGGTTCTGTGGGTCAGCCCCTCCCCCCCCATAGGGAACTGTCTCCAAGGTCTGCCCAACTCACAAAAGTAATCCAGGCCAGAGAGGGAGTGAGCAGAGGAAGAAACCATAGCCACTGCACAGGGCTGGGTGTGCACTGAGAAGAGAGAGGACACAAACACGCACACACACGTGCACGCGCGCACACGCGCACACTCACAAACACTTTCTTTTTTTTTTGAGACAAGGTTTCTTTGTGTATCCCTGGCTATCTTGGAAGCCAGGCTGTAGACCAGACTGGCCTTGGACTCAGAGATCCGCCTGCCTCTGCCTCCCGAGTGCTGGGATTAAAGTCATGTGCTACCACCACCGGGCTCTTTTAATACTCACAACCATTGTCCCATTTTACAAATGGGGAAACTGAGACACAGAAACTGTGCTTAGGTCATACAACCAATAAGTCAATTGGAACTTGAATTTGAGTCATGAATATGGCTAGGGCCAGGCCCACACCTACAGATGGGCAGTTGGGGGAGGGCGTAAGGATTGGAAAGAGGTTTAACTTGCTTAGGATGGGCCCTGGATGCAGATGTGGCATGGTTAGAAACTGATTCTGAAGAATCTGGGGAACCAGGGACGGGTGTGAGCAAACCGGTGTAGCCTGTCAGTTATACACCTAGGGCCGTGCACATGGCCATCTGTGGGAGGCCCCAGGACAGGAGAGCAGCTGTCCTGCCAGGGACTGTGAGGCTTCGAGGGTCACAGGGGGGCTTGGCCCCCAAAAATACTGGTGCTAGAGAAGAGGAGGAACAGAGGCACCAAACAAGGGGCTGGGAGGAAGAAAAGGCCAAGTTCACTCTGGGTAGGGAAAGAGGCGAGAAGCAGTGCTGGGATTCAGACTCAGGACCCAGACTCCAAGTTCCTGTTGCCTCTGTGGAGATGAGAAGGGCCCCTGAGGCCAGAGTCAAGATGGCTTCTACAGCCAGCATCTTCTTGCCCCCAGGGTCAGAAAGGGACAGCTTCATAGGACAGGTGTCTGGGCCTTTGAGCCCTGGCTCTGTCCTTCCCATAATCACTTCCTCAGTACTGATCCTTCCAAATAGACAGAGAGCCCCAGGCCTTACAGCCCATAGAGCTGTACAGCTGTGCGCTCTGTGGTCCTACAAAGTGCCCCACCCCCATTCCCTATCATGCCATGATGGGCCCTGAGGACTCCAGCTCTCTGCAGCTGACATCCAAGGCCTCTACTGCAGCCCAGCTGGCCCTAGCCAGTCTTTCCAGTTTGTGGCTCTACCCACCTGTCGCCTGCCTGGCCCTGGCCACTACCTGTGTACGTCAGGTGTACCCTGCCTGACCAGTCTTTACCACTTGGAGCGGTCAGGGAAGTCCTGTGACCTGCCTTCTCTGCCCTGTTGTCAGAAATGAAGCTAGACCCCAGTGTTCTTTGTGTTCTGGTCCTGTTTCCCTCATTCTAAGGGTGACTATGGCATGAATTTCCCTGTGGATTCTGTTCTTCTTCACATCGGACAGGGAGGACGATGGTAAACCAGAGAAACGACTGCACCAGCTTGGCGACCGATGGGTTTACTAGGGTTCCTTTACTGGGGAATGGGTAAGAGGTTACTCGTAGAAGCGTGGGTGGCTCCTGGAGCCGTGTCATGGGAAAGCCCGCTCTAGCATAGGTGACAAGTCACATAAAGAGCTTTGTAGCTTTCCCCATTCAGTTAACCTCCCACCACCTATATATTCCCCAAGCTGGACAGTGTTGATACAACAAGGGAAGCAGGAGGTGTTGGGTGGCTGGAATCTCAAGGGAGAGTCCAGTGACTCCTCTCCCGTTTCTGCGAGGGAATGCCAACCTCCCAGTCTTGAGCAGATAGTCACAGTTGCTCTGGTTTTGAGACAACGGTGGCCACGTCGTACCTGGAGGACAGGGTTCCACAACCACAACAGCTCGCCCCGTGTGGTGTGTCATGTCAGGAACTGAGCAGTTTAATGGTCCCAGCAACTCTCTGAGGCTGACGCTGTTACAGGCTCGCTTTACGGGTTGGAAACCAAGACAAGGGACGGTGCCACCAACAAGGCCAAGTGGTAGCAGCTGCATTGGCTCCCAGGCAGACCCCCATGTGAACTCCGCTCTCCCTGACTCCTCGTTGACATTTGCCTCTTTGGCTAACTGCAGACTGTTCAAAGTTTAGGGACTGTGTCTCTACAATTAGGGTGGCCACACAAACCTGATGGCCAGTGTGTTCTCAGCAACTCCAGAGTGTTGCTGTTAAATAAAGGGAGTGGAGAGCTTGAGGGATCTCGAACGTGTTTTTGGAGTCACCCAGAACTTCGTTTCTATCTCTTAATAGCTTTGTGACCCAAGGCAACCTGTCTGGCCTCTTTGGTCATCAGTTCCTCTCTCTGTAAGATAGAACCTTCTAGACTGCTGTGAGTACTGGGTGATGAGCTACCTGTGAAATTCAGACGTGAGCCACACATACTTTCAGTTCCAGTGGTTCCAAGTCTCCCTGCGGGCAGCTATGCTCACTTGCCATGTCCTTCCCTTGTGGCTGCTCTGTCACTTAGGAGTTTGTTGACAGTTTCCTGTTTGCTAACTGGCCTCTCAGCTGGGAGTGAGTTTTCTGGCGTACTCTCCCCTGGCAAGCTTTGTGGCCATGGGCCTTCCCTTAGATTTGTTTCCCGTCCTGGCGAAGGCAGGGGTTGGAGCAGATGGTCCCTCCTACTCCTTCCTGCTTTTGCCATCTCAGGAAGCAGGGAGGGGCTGCCTGGACACAGCATGAGATGGGACATGAAGCGGTGACAGGAGCCTCAGGTGGAACACAGTGACCACATCCCAGCACCCTGTAAATGCCAGGTTATGTGCCCGAGGGTCTAAACTGTCCCCACCCTACGACCTATGACTTATCCTCATTTTGAAGATGAGGGCCTTGGAGCTCAGAGAGGTTAGATGACCTCACGGGGGACACACAGCCAGCAGATGACTGAGCCAGCTTTCTCACCCAGATCTGTCTGATCTGAAGCTGGAGAAGACGGTGGAGTGCAGAGTGATGCAGGTCAGTCTGCTTTCTGCGCCCACCCGTGGGCTCTGGGCTTTAGGCTTCCTAGATTAGCTGTTTCTGAGGCTGTCTACTGGGCTCCGAGCTGCCTGCCTGTGTCTCCTAGGCTTCTACCTTTCTATCTCATGTCAGTATCATAGCTGGCTTCTCCCATCCTAGCACGGGAGCTCAGACCCTTCCAGGGTATTGGTCTCTGAGCAGGTTCACTTGCAAGTCAGAAGCTAGGTGTGTCTGACCCTGTCCTAGGTACTGAGACTGAGAACAGCTCCAGGACATGACCCCTGCCCTCAGGAGCCCAAGATCTAGTTAGGGAGGCTGATAGGTAACCTCACAATTAGAATGCAGCGCGTTGAGCTTGGGAATGTTCACCTTGTGTACATGAAGCTCTGGGTTCGATCCTCAGCACCATGTAAATTGGGTGTGGTGTTGGACACCTGCAGGATGATCAGACATTCAAGGTCCTCCTCTGCTACTTGGTGAGTTCCAGGCCAGCCTGAGCTACATGAGACCCTCTCTCAAAGGGAGAAGGATTCAGCGCAAGGACAGACTCTGCACACAGAGAGGAATGCCCCACGACAGGGAGGTGGGCTGGTGACAAGTGACCTCTGAGTCACATGAGCATCCTGAACATGACCAAGGGCTGGGAGACAAACACTGCGTGTGTTTAGTGCTGTCTAATAGAACTTTCTGGAACACTGGAGAGTTCTGCGTCTATATTGCTTGATGCTATAGCTGCCAGCCCTAAGTGGCTATTGAGCCCTTGAGATGAGATGAGACCAGTACAGTGAAGAAATTGAATTTTCCACTCCATTTCATTTTCACCCATTTCAATGTAAATAGCCATGTGAGGCTGAAGGCTGCCATGCTGAACAGCACAGGTATAGACCAGGAGATGGCCAGCTGGAAGGCCTTGAATGCTGCCCTGAGATCTCGTTTCTTTCTTCCCAGACTCTGAAGAAATCCTGGAGATGTGGAGAAACCTTTTTAGGTCCATTGAAGCTGTGGGGGGGGGGGTGTGGGGTACAGAACAGAGGTGGGGCCTGATGTTGGAATTCAGAAAAGAAGAGTTGAAGGCCAAACCAGGAACTGTGGGTGTGGTGACAGGACTAGCCTCCACAGCAAGCCTGAGGGCCAGCTGGTCAGGTTCAGAGATGAGTCACAGGTTTCTGGCCTGGATGGCACCAGAGGGTACCCTTCACCCCATAGAGCCAACTCTCCTTAGTAAGGAAAGGCAGATCCGATGTCCCCAAATGCCCCCCAAATCCACTGTGGTGAGTTTGTCCTGGCCTCTCCCCACAACTCACCCTGTCCCTCGTTTCTCTCTCGGCATCCCTGACAGCACCATAGGTGTCCCAGGAGGCCTTGGTGTGCGTGTGGAGAGGGGTGAAAGTCTCCACTGCCCCCTGGATGGATGTAAGAAGAAGGGCAAGCCAGGTCACTGGGTTCAAAATCAGTGAGGAGTTTGTTTAGATTCCCAAGATGTTCTGAACAATGTGACAAATGCGGATTCTAGGGCCTTACAGGATCCGTGGTGACCACCATGGAGGAGCATACAGCACTAGCCATTTCTCCAAACATCTACCTCTTTTTTTTGTTTGTTTTTGTTTTGTTTTTCCAAGACAGGCTATCCTGGAGCTCACTCTGTAGGCCAGGCTGGCCTCGAACTCACAGAGATCTGCCTGCCTCTACCTCCCAAGTGCTGGGATTAAAGGTGTGCGCCACCACCACCTGGCTAAACATCTACCTCTTGACTAGACAAATTCCCAAGCTAGATCAGACCCCAAGCTGTCAGGAGCCACCCTGCACTGTGGTGAAGTAGGCCTGCCTGTCAAGGACTAGGAGGACCAGGAACCTGAGCAGTGACTCTCAGCTGCTGATAGGTCAGACTGAGGGCCTGAAGTTCAGTGGGGGTAGATTTCTCTCTCTTGAAAAGCAAGTCCACCAGAGAGGGCTCCAGGCTCTGGTGTGCTGGAGACACTGAGTTGGCCCCAGGGAGCTGATTTTCACATCTCTTACTGTCATCCAAACACCTCACGGGGCAGCTTGAGATCAACACCATTGGAACTAGCTAACAGTAAAGGGCCTGCCTGCCTTCTGTCCTCCCTCTCTCCCTCCCTTCCTCTCTCTTTCCCTTCCTCCCCTTTTCCTTCCCTTCCCACCTGTCCTCCTTCCTTCCTTCCTTCTTTCCTCGCTCCGTCCCTTCCTCCCTCCATTCCTTTCCCCCAGGGAGCAGGTCTGGTGACAGTGTGACTGTCCCCTCTACCTCTGCTTTCAGCTTGTGACTTTGACGTCGCGGTTGCCTCGTAGTGAGATGACTGCTGGAGTTCCGGTCATGGTGTCTGTTGAAGCTCTGTTCTCACAAAGCATGCCACCCCCATTTTGTTGTTGTTGTTGCCCGTGTTTTCACGGCTGTCTTCATGCTCAGTTGCCTTCCTCTGAGTAGAATTCCCCAACCATGGCATCTAAATTGCCGGCCCACCACATGCTCTGCCATCTTTCTAGAGCATGGACCATGTTGGTCATCCCTTCTCTTCCTGTTTATATCAGTCTTTCTTACCAGACTAGAGGTTCCCGTGGGCGGAAACTGCGTCTGCCTTCTTCTCTGTTGTATCTCCAGACCTCAGCGGTGCCCCTTCCATCGTAACTGCTCAATAGACTATTGGTGAATGAATAAGTGACAGTAAGCAGAGGTAATTCTGCGTTCTCCATTCCTTCCTTATTGTGTTATCATAGCCATTCCCTCATGTCAGTGCTTAGGCAGTAGGATGAGTTGGACCAGTTGTTTGTCGAGGATCCTGCCTGCTCTGCCAAGATGGATAAGTAAGAGGGAGGTAAAAATAGGAACCAACTGGGCCATGGTGGCACATGCCTTTAATCTCAGCACATGGGGGCAGAGGCAGACAGATCTCTGTGAGTTCGAGGCCAGCCTGGTCTACAGAGCAAGTTTCAGAACAGCCAGAGCTACACAGAGAAATCCTGTTTCAAAAAAAAAAAAAATAGGAATCAGCACTTAAGCCTGTCTGGCACCACGTGGCCTAAGTTGACTGGGGTCCCTGGGAATTGCTCAGGGTCTGTTTTCATGGAAACTCACTCACACAGCCCTTCCTGGAGCCCCAACTAGTACCAGATAGCCCCTGGATCCAGACCACGGAGAAGATAAGTAGTAAGGGGAAACCCAAGGGCTAATGTGGGGAAGGAAGAGGGACAGACAGGAGGACACCTACCTACAATACAGAGGCTAGAAACTCAGTAAGTACAGACAGCTGGACTCTGTTGGGGACCACCCACCTCCACCCTGATTGTTTATTTGACAAATAAACAGGCCCTGACATGTGCTAGGACCACTCTGGGCACTGGGGATACAGGAAGCTATAACAGCAAACAAACTGCTCAGGATTCCCACTCATAAAAGTCCTATCCCAGTTAACGAGGCAAACAATACACACAAGCCGTCAACAAGTATGGTCTCCTCTGTACGGTACAGTGAAGACCCCAAGGCTGCGTAAGGGAGCTGCCTCTGTCTGTGGGGCGGTCAGACAGGACTCCGGTTGATAACTGGACGATACTAAGCCTGAGCAAGCAGTGAGCGTAAAGTCCCGAGGCTGGAGGGATGAGGATGAGGCTCCACTGTGGTAGGCTTGCCTAGCACGCACAAGGCGGGGGCTCCACCCCTGCACCACCACTACCAAAATAACGCCCCAAGTGTTGAGCCAGCTCTGGATGACGGAGGGGAGCCATTTTGGCTGGATGGAAGCAAGACACGAGGATGGTGGAGACAGTGGTGGAGGCAGGAAAGGGAGCTGCAAGGTTGAAGCAGGTACCAAATACCGCAGTGGTCCACATGAATAATTCCCAAAATCAATGCCAGAAAATCTATAATGAACAAACTGCCAATATTTTAAGCAAGGCCATCGCAAGTGTCCTGTTGAGCCAAACGGAACTCCAAACAGGAAAACTCGCAGTACTAAGCCTTGTTTTTGGTTAGAGGGGGAGGCGTGTGTGTGTGTGTGTGTGTGTGTGTGTGTGTGTGTGTGTGTGTGTGTGTGTGTGCAAGCGCGCGCACCTCTGAGTGCACATGGAGGCCAGACGTCAACCTTATCTGTCGATCCTCAGCAGCAGTCCACCTTTAAAAAAAAGTTTATCTTTGCTAGTTCCCTTTTTAAAAAAATTTTTTTTGGTGTATTATGAGGGTTTGCCTACATGCATCTCTGTACCACATGCCCGTATGGTGGCCAAAGAGGCCAGAGGAGGACATCTCATCCCAGACACTGAAGTCAGAGACTGTGGCCCACTTTGTGGATGCTCAGACTGAATCTGGCGTCTCTGCAAGAGCAGCAAGTGCTCTTCACAGCTGAGCCCCCTCTCCAGCCTCCACCGAGATCTCTCATTGGTCTTAGGGCTCACCAACTAGGTTGGTCTGGCCGGCCAGTGAGCCCCAGGGATCCCCTTGCCCCATTCCTAATGCTGGGGTTAAAAGCGTGTGCTGCCACAGCTAGCTTCGTACATCAGAGCTGGAAATCAGACTCGGGGCCTCTTGCTAGCATGGCGAGCACTTCACTGACTGTCTTCCAGTCCCCAGTCCTGCTTTCAGTTGAGAGATGATATCTTGTCTGCCTGGATGTGTTGCAGTGGATCATCTTAGACATCATCATTGTAGAAATATGTCACCTGGCTTTAAGCTTGTCGGCTCCAGCTCACCATGCTGGCCCGGACTGATATGTGCTGGCTGTATGTTTGGAGCCAGGGTCTTGACCTCTTTCCCCACTTGAGAATGGGGGCAGCAAGAGTGCTACGGAAAGGCTCTGGTGAGTCACTGCCAGCAGGAGACTGGGAGCCGGGTCCAACCAGGCAAGCAGAGACTGTATGCAGGCAGTGAGCCTGCAGCTGTGGGCTGTGCTGCTGCAGTCTGGGTCCCCATCAGAGTGCCACACAGGTGCCAGCCAGTGGCTAAGGGGCAGGGTGAGGGGGGGGTGATGAGATTGTTTGGCATCAGGAGGACCAGAGATCAATCGAGGTCTGGTAACTCATGACTGTAACCCTAGATACTTGAGAAGGTAAGGCCGAAGGATTGCTACAAATTTGAGGCCAACCTAGGCTACATAGTGAGTTCTAGGCCAGCTTGACCTACATAGTAAGAGTGTTCTCTCTTGGATTTAGGAAACAAGGTCAACAGAATATGATGGGTGAACTATAAGGGGAGGTGGGCATTGGGGTTGGAGGTCAAGGGCAGGATAGGCCCCAGCTGCCAACAGAGCTGGGCCCTCGTCATCGAAGACTGCCCTGGCTGGGTGTGGCCTGCTCCCCCATGCAGGCCCTGTGTGTATTTCAGAGGGAGCTGAAGGAGCAGCTTCAAGCCCTTCAGGACAGTGAGCGTGAGCACACGGAGGCGCTGCATCTACTTAAGCGACAGCTGGCGGAGACCAAGGTGAGCCTTACCAAGTGTGGGAAAGGGTGGGCAGGGGTGAAGTGGTGTTTCGAACGTCTCAGCCCTCTGAGGAAACCTGGCTTCCAAGCACATAAGCTTGATGGGAGAGAGGCAGGGTGGGTAGGAGTGGAGCTTCTGAGACAGCAAATGGGACTAGGACCCACCCCCAATATCACAGAGGGCTTTGGAGCCTAAGTGGGGCCATTTCTCTTCAACTTTGGCAGGCATTGGGACAGGAAGGGTTGACAAGACTCAGTACCTCCTTGTTTTCCCTTTTAAATAGGCCCATTGCCCAGGAGCCAACTGTGGCATGTCCCCTCTGAGCCATGACTAGTGCCATCGCCCCTCCTGCACTCAAGCATAGAGATAAGGACTTTAAATCCAGGTGTCATGAGACACACCTGTCATCCCAGCACTGAGGAGGCTGCACCAGAGGATGTTGAGTCTCAGGACAGCCTAGGGTACATGGCAAGACCTTGGCTGGAGAGAATGGGGGACCTGACTCCAACTCTGAAAAGTAGGGCAAAATTCTGTTCTGTGGTCTCTGGCTACAGTGATGGGATGGAACCTTTTGCCTCTAACTTGAGAGGAGTACTCGGATCCAGTCCTAACACTGACCGTGTGACATTGGGTAAATCACATTCCTGGATTCCCTATCTAAACAGTGGGAACTCTGGCCAGTTCAATCCAGAACTCAGGGCTAGGAGGAGAACTTCACATACAGAGGGACTCTAGGGGATGAGTTAGGGCTCACCCTGCTATACAAAATGAAAGCCACTGCAGCTGGGGCAGAGCCCTGGGGTTACCCGGCCTGGAGACACCGTTGGTAACCCTACATCTGTGTGCCAGCATGGCCACCAACCCACTGCATGGTCTTTTGGAGTAATGACAGACATTCCTTCAGAGGACATTCCAGAGGGCCTCTGAGCAGGACCCCTCGGTGGGTGACAGATGAGAAACAGCCACGGGGTTGCGACCTCAACTCTTCTCAGAGCCTTAACTTCTCTGTCTGTCTGGTGGCTCCACACTGCTCCCGTGAGGAGAAACAGATGGAGACCTCTCTGGATGGGCGAGCATCTGAGGGTCTGTTCTCCCCTACAGCTTCCCTTCTCTCATTCACTCCTCTTCTCCCCCTCCTTTCCTCCCCCTCCCCACTGACCTCCTGCCCACCCTTCCTGTCCATCTGTGTGCTGCTGGGGGACCCCTCCCCTCCCTTTCCCCAGCCTGGCTTCCTGTCTGGACGGGTGTATTTATATAAGAAATGCTGATGGAGGCTTTGAGACCATATTTCACCTGACTGGCTCCGCTGCAGCGCCTGCCTGCCTGCCCTCCAGTGGCCTTGCCTGGGGGCCTGTCTGCTCTCCCTCCTCCGACCATGTTTTCCTTGGTAGGCTCTGAGATGACATGTTCTTGGCAGAGTGTTTCTGAAAGGACCACAGCTGCCCCAGACCCAGTATGTGTCTGGGAATGTGGTAAGCTGGGCTGCCTTCCCCACTGAGGAATCAACATGAAAGGCAAGGCTCTGCCTTAGGACTCAGTAGAGTAGGGTCAAGGAGATGGCTCAGCACAGAAAGGGGCTTGCTGCCAAGCCTGGCAGCATAAGTTCAAACCCTGGGACCTACATGGTGAAAGGCTAGTCATGAGAGCAGGACCCCCCACACTTAGCATAGCATCTGACCCATAGTAAGGAGTTGTAGAGCAAGGGAGTAAACAATAACAGCAATAACTAAACACATTTGGTAGTGAGGAAGCGCCATCCCACTTTTACCAGAGAGGAAATTTCAGCCAGGAGAGATTGATAGACAGACCTGAGGCCCCGTAGCTTGTTTTAGTGGCAAGACGTATGACTTGGTAAAGAGTGTGGGAAGACTCAACTGGGTCATGTACAAAACTCCTAGACTGTCACTCTGATAAGTCACTTCCTGGTCCCCTCTCTCTGCCTCTCATCCTCTTTCTCTATCCATTCTCTCTTGTCCTGAGGACATTTGGCTCTAGCCTGCAAAGAAAATGGAATCTGCCCTCAACTCTGTGATGTAATCTTAAGCAAGTCCCTCCTTCCCTCCCTCCCTTCCTTCCTTCCTCTCCCCTTCATCAGTGAAGCTCTCCAGACCTCCAGCCTGTACCAGGCCTGGGATGTGCACAGGGTCAGGGAACATGTCATTCCTACCTAGGGAGGGCTCCTGCACTAGCTGGAGAGACAGATTGTAGAGGAGACAGCAGATAAGAAGCCTGGCATACCTAACACCTGGAAAAGTGAGAGAAAGTCTGTCAGGAGGAGCCCCCCCCAACCCCCCGCCCCTGTCTTGTGGGGAGGCACAGTCACAGAAATGGAGACAAACCAAGACTGTCAGCCTCTGGGTGAATAGTGCTGCTGGGCAGTTTAGCAGGAGCTGGAGAGGGTGACCCTGGATCCTGGAGGCCCTGGAACATTCCTCTATAGGATACAAGGAAGTGGACCCCATCCTCCCAGCTGTACAGCCTCCACCTCTCTGGGTGAGGGGCTCCAGGAGGCCTCTGGCAGCTTTTCCCTCCATGCCCAGCCTCTCCTCCACTCCTCCTTTGTCTTCCTGGCGTGTTGGGTGGGCATGCGCAGGGAGGTTGGCCTGCTGCCAGCCGTTCTTCCTGCAGGCCAGCAGCCACCACAGGAGAGAACAGGCCCTAATTGAGCCTTTGTGGGGCCTCCCACAGAGCCCCAGGCACTGAACACAGTGGGGTCTCTGACTCTATGAACTGCCAGTCAGAGGCCCACAAAGTGAAATTGCAGAGGCGGCCACATCCTGTGTTGCCTGACTGTCAGTGCCCCTCAGGGTAGCCCCCCTCCCCCTGATCCCCGCCAGTGCTCCCCCCCACCCCTGGAGCCCACTCCGGAGCCGCCGCTCCATGGACTCCATGGGCATACCTGTTAGAAACCATCCCCTGGCCTGGAGTTGCCCCTCATTTGATGAACATCTCCGCCACACCCTTGTAATGTGGCTTTTGTGACTCTTCTCACAGATAGGGAAACCCAGGCACACAGAGCTCAGGTAGCTGAGACCCGCCACAGTAGAGACAGAGAGCTGGGACCCTTCCCCAGTCACTCCTCCACCTCCTCGTGGGCCTCGGGGAGGGGAGAGTCTCTAGGACTGTGTAGACCTCCCTTGGCGGTGGCCTTGTTCCTACAGTGGGGGCTCCAGGGGAGCAGGATGGACAAGTAAACACCATGATTTGCCCATCTCTGCCTGTTTATGTTGGTCTCTGACCTCCATGACCCCCTTTGTCATCATCCTTTGAAAGCAGATTGGACACATAGGCATCCCCTACATAGTTTTTCCCCATTCCCCCTTCCCTCGTGCCAGAAATCTGGGCAGTATCGTCCATCCCTGCCCCTTGCAGCCTCATTGGTTCTGCTGCACTACGTCATCATTAGTCTCCTGATGGACCCCATGGAACCGCCAGCCCTCTGTCCTGTGCAGGTCCCATCTTGTCGCCTTGCTTGTCTGTGTGCCATACCCAGTCTGCCCAGCAAGCCCCTCCCCCACCTTTGTGTCAAAGCTACCCCTTCTCACTGGCAACTGGACACAGGGAGACTCACGCTGGGTCCCACCTACACTTTCTCATAACCCCTGATGGTTCTCTCCCAACCCCCAGTCCTCTACCAAGAGCCTGCGGACCACCATCGGGGAAGCCTTTGAGCGTTTGCACAGGCTACTGCGTGAGCGCCAGAAAGCCATGCTGGAGGAACTGGAGGCTGACACGGCCCGCACACTGACTGACATTGAGCAGAAGGTCCAGCGCTACAGCCAGCAATTGCGCAAGGTGCAAGAGGGTGCCCAGATCCTGCAGGAGCGGCTGGCTGAGACCGACCGGCACACCTTCCTTGCTGGAGTGGCCTCCCTGTCTGAGAGGTAAGTGCCACCTGGCTTTGCTTTCCCCGAGTGCCTTTCCCAACCCAACTCAGTCAGGGAGGGGGTTCATCCGATCATACTTTCATCATCGTTTACAGGAATCGACTGTTAATATGCCAGAGCCCAAGCTAAAAGCCTCTCATCTCCATATTACTCCGTATATAATGTATTCCACTTGAGCTGGGTGTGGTGGCTAGCACCTGTAATCACAACACCGGAGACATTAAGAGAAGAGATTTGTCATAAGTTTGAGGCTAGCCTGGGCTACAAAGTAAAATGCTATCTCAGAACAATATATATGTATATATTCTACCTATATTATAACACTTGATGGTATTCATACTCATTTAATACACTTTTGCTCTATGTGTCATGTATGTGTTTATGTGTTTGGGGAGATGGGGTGTGCATGTTCATGTGTGTGGAAGCCAGAGGACATTCTCAGCTGTCATTCTTCAGGTGTTGTCCACGTTGGGATTTTTTTAGGATTATGGATGTGTGTGTGTGTGTGTGTGTGTGTGTGTGTGGAGTGTATAACACAAACGTACAGGTGCCTGTGGAGACTAAAAGAGGCCTCAGATCTCCTGGAGCTGGAGTTACAGGCAGTTGTGAGCCACTGGACATGGGTGCTGGGAATCAAACTCACGTCCCTGAAGAGCAGTGAGCACCTAACCTCTGATGGTCTCTGCGCCACACACTGTGTCTTTTAAGATAAGGTCTCTCACTGACCTGAGCTCTCCAAGCAGGCTGTGACTGGCCAGCCAGCAAGCCCCAGGGAATCCTCCTGCCTCCACAGCACTAGGATTTCAAGTGCACACCACCACACCTGTTTTTGTTTTGACATGGGTTATGGGGATCGAACTTAGGACTTCACGCTTGCAAGGCAGGCACTTTACCAACTGAGCTATCTCCTCAGCCCCTTATTTACAGTAGCATTAATGCAATATACCATCCTTTAGAGACATTATATTATTATTATATGATTGTAGCCTTCTGAGCTTCCCTGAAGGGAGTTTACAATAATCCTTTCACAAGTATAGAGACTGAAGCTCCGAGAAGTTAGATCGATTGATGAATTGGTCAAGGCTACTTGGGCTGGTGGTAAAGCCAGGGTTCACACCCAGGAACTCAAGGCTCCCTTCATGGCATCGCTTGGTATTGGCTTGCAGGAGATCAACACTCACCACTGCCATCACGTGCTTGTTGTTGGCCGGGAGCCACCAAGCTAAGCACTTTCTGTACGTCACTCTGTGAAATCCTCTCGACAGGCCTAGAAACGCAGGGCCTAGCACAGTACCTCGTTGTTCTTGACTTTGGCCAGGGGCCTGAGAAACGGCTGCACAGTGCCCATTTTACAGAGGAGCAAACAAACTGAAGGCAGCAGAGAGGTCCAAATGGCAGAGCGGGCGCTTGGGTCTCAGCCCCGCAGATGCCTCCTCACTCATGACCTCGCCCTGGAGGTGGGTACCTGACCCCATGAAGCCTTCTCTCCCGCTGTCCTTGCAGACTCAAGGGGAAGATCCATGAGACCAACCTGACGTACGAAGACTTCCCGACCTCCAAGTACACGGGCCCCCTGCAGTACACCATCTGGAAGTCTCTTTTCCAGGACATCCACCCAGGTGAGGCTCTGCCTGTCCTCCTGGAGAGACAGGGAAAAGTGTGGATTGCCACCTGGGGTAGGTGTGACAGGTGGCAGAGCAGGAAGTGGGCAGAGTGCCCGTTGACGTCCTGTTTTGTCCTTTAAGTGCATTGTATCACTGACACACTCAGCTCCTGGAGGTACTTACACGGTCACCCACGTGTCTCGCTTGTAGAGTTGGAGGCTCAGAGCTAGAGCGATTGGATGGGTCATGTGCTGTGTCCCCAGAGCCTATGCTGAGCTCACTGAGCCCCCAGAAAACCCTCTACAGCAGGTTGTAATACTCTGCTGTTCTCGAGTGCAGGGACAGATGTCTCCTGTCCTGACACAGGTGTCAGAATCCATCCACCTGGATGGATGCATTATTTGATTCTACAAATAGCGACTGTCCCTCAGTTTCAAGAGTCAAGAGAGACAGGCAAGTGGCCAGATCCCGGCAGTCTAGTGGGACAGGGCTGTGACATGAGACTTGCTCATAATGGAAGCCCGGGATGGGCATGGATGGGAGGTCAGGGCCAGGGTCAATCAATTGAAAGTTCCAAATGGAGCAGCCAGGAGAAGCTCGGGTTTGAACTGAGTACTGGAGAGCATGGGCCACCCCAGAATGTCTTCAGCTGAGACCCAGCAGTGATGGAGAGGTCCCTGGTACAATCACCCAGGGTGTGGATGCTGGGTCACAGAACTGGGGCTCCCCTTCAGGTGACAGACCTCATCTAACATGTCATTCCTGCTGTCTTAGAGTTGAAGGGGGGAGCTAATTAACAAAAGCAGCAATGGTTGGGGGAAGGGATCATTTTCTAGCAATCCCAACTGCCGTCCTGGGGTGCCTCAACCCCTGAAGGACTTTCACCCTGAGCCGTATGTGCCTGAAGCAGTGTACCTAAAGAGAGACAAGAACCCCAGGATGTTTTTCTCTCCTTCTCCGTGGTCCCAGGGCACCCTTCAAGGGAGTGGTCTAGGAACTTTCTGCCTCAGATGCCACCTGCCCCGTCTCTGTCACAGGTGCCTCACCCAGTCAGTCCAAACCCTTCAAGACATCACACTCAGCTATACTGAGCAATCTTCAGGTTGTGTATGAGCCAAATTCTCCCTCCCTTGTACATTTTGCTGGAGACCTTGGCACCATCTTTGGTATTCGATGACCAAAACTCATTGTCCTTTGTAGCTTTACCTTAAACACCTCAGCTGAAATTAATGCCATCCTGGGTTTCCTCAGGTAACCTTGGGCTTTTCTGACCATAATCCTTGGTCATAGCTTGTGTAGTCCCCTCTCTCTCTCTCTCTCTTTCTCTCTCTCTCTCTCTCTCTCTCTCTCTCTCTCTCTCTCTCTCTCTCTCTCTCTCTCTCTCTCTATAGACTTTGAGCTCTAAGAGGTCAGAAGCTGGGTCCAATTAATCCCCTGCCGCCAGCAGTCAGTGTTTATTGATGAAGGAATAAAAGAACAGATGTCAGACTCAAGTCCACTTCTAGAATAGTGCCTAGCGTATACAAAAGGTACTCCATACGTGTTAAAGGGACTTGCTGCAGGTCCTTGGATCCTTCCCTTCCTCCTCTAGGCCAGTTTTGTCCTCTGAATAATTAGGATGGAGATCCCTTTTTTGCCTCCATCACAACTGAGCAGATGAGGGCTCCAGGCAGGGTCTCAGCCCCTTTACCACTGATCCACAAGGTCCTGCTGGAGGCCCTTCCTACACATAGGAGACTAGCAACCTCTGCAGCCTCTATACACCAGATACTGCTGTCCCCTCCCCCCTGTTAGAGCAACCAAAAATGTCTGGCCTTGGTCAGATTTCTTTGGAAGCCAAGTTGTCTCGGTTGAGACCACAGGCCCTGAGAACACTGTCTGCAAAAGGACTGAGGGGCAGGTGTGTGATTGAGCAAAGGCCCCAGGGACGGCAGACAACAGTGACCTGCTTGGCCGGGCCCCTTCTTTGTCTGTGGGATCTATGACATCACTTTGGCTCTTCAGTGAGCACCGGGGCCTTTTATGTACAGATGGGAGAGCTGTTTCCCCCCCAGGGACCTAGCTGTGGCTCCCTGGCTGCCCCTCCTTTACAGCCCAAGCCTCCCTTTGGGTCATCTGAGAACCTTGTCTAACACCTGTTGCTCCCCTGCTCTGGAGCTTCCTGGCTTCATCACCTCCAGCCGCCTGCCCAGGCCCCAGCCCTTCACCCACCATCCCGCTGCCAGCCCAGCCCTGTCACCCACTCCCAGGTGCAAACCCCCCCAGTGAGCCAGGCAGCCCATTGTCCAAGGACACCAGACACCCCTCTCCCTCCTCAGCCTCCCCGCCTTGTCTGGCCTCACCCCCTTTGCTGCTCATCTAGATCTAATCATTTAGAGGCCCAGAATGTTCTCTGCTCCACTGCGTGACCCAAAGCAAACTGCCTTCCCCCTCCCCCGTGCTCCCTTTCCCCTCCCCTCTGCTCGCCCTCCCCCCTCCACAGCTGAGCCTGGGTTTCCTCACCCACACCTTAGAGATGGTCCCAGGTGTTGCCCAGGGGAGATACCAGAGAACTGATATCTCTGTGAAGATGATACCATAATTTAGTAAGCACATTTTGCTATTTACTATTATGAATCAGACACTTTTCCCATCTTGCTGGTCAGATTTTCTGGGACCAAATACTGGCAGGACACTATGTGAAAAGACCCAGCTTGTGTTCCAATTCACCTTTCACCCCAACGCAGAGTCAGACCATCATGCCACTTGCCTAGGAGAAAGGCCAGGCTCACAGCCCAGGCCCTGCCCCCTCCCCAGGGAAGCAGAGCCTGCACAGGATGGATGCCCCTGCCCTCCTACACTTGCAGGGGTCAGGCTTTCCTCTGCCCAGAGGTTCTGAGTTGTCACATTGGTCTCAGAACTGCCAGGAGCCCTACCCACTCAGCAGGGGCTCTGGAAGTAGCCCACAATGCCCTACACAGACTTAAGAGTCAGGCCAATACCTGCCAGTGTCCCTTTAACTGTCCCTTGAGCCTTGGGGTCTCCCTTTTGTTTGCTCACAGCATCCTAGGTATCTGGTATGTGGGAGTCTGGCATTCCCAAATGCTGCTGTTTTCCCCGGGATCCTAAGCACACACACACACTCCACCCCCAACATATTCCACTGCCTGAAGCGTCAGCAACACATCTGTCTGTAATTAGGTTCTTACACACACACACACACACACACACACACACACACACACACACACACACACGTCCAGCCTTCCTCTCACTGTGGGAATTCTTCACACTGCACAGGGCAGGAACTTTCTTTTTCTTACCAACAACCCAGCAACTGACAGAATACGGGCAAAAGTTCACATGTGGGTCCACATCATCCCACCACTTTTATGTCCCTGGACAAAGGATTGTTCCGTGGGCCCCTCTGTAGGCAAGGTTCCTGGTTCCCACACAGCTCTCTGCATTCTGAGGACAAGAGAGAAGTGTGAGGTGAAGAAGTAAGTTATCATGACCCAGCTTGTGGAGGAGGCTCCATGCAGGTCCGCCTCTTGGGCATGCATGATGCTGGGGCGGGCCATGGCTGCCTAGGGGGACAATCACAAGCATTGGAGCATCTTATTTCCCTGTGTATACACAGCCTACAGAGGCACTGGTCCAGCCAAAGACATCATGCCCCTGCTCCAGCTGGGGAAGTCCTTGGCCCTAAGGAACTGTAGCAGTATCCCATCTCTTCCTCCCACTTTTTCTCCCCCTCTGTCTTGCTCTGTCCTGGAAATACTCACCTAGCTGAGAAGTACCAGTCTCAGATTCCCTCCACTCCTTAGGGGGGTTATCAGAATAAGCCAGGGGGAATAAACAGAGGTCTTGACAGGAGTTCAAGAGACTGTCCTATCAGACCTGCTGAGCCGGTATGACCAGCTCAGAGCCAGGTGACCCAGCCTGTCCAACCGGGGTGAGGGCATTTGTGTGTCCAGAAGCCTGTCCATGCCAGGGTCTATGCTGGGCACTGAACTCTCAAAGAAGAGAAGGTTCACTTCAACACAGGCCTTGGCCTCTGGGTGCAAAGTGGCTAAGATAGAAAGCTAGAAGGCCATGCCCTGTGTAGGAGAGCAGCACAGAGATCACAGGAGTCCCAGAGGCCGAGGGAGGAGTCAGCTGAGTCCTCCAGCACGAAGGCTCCCAGAGGATGGGCCTTCAAAGCGGGGAGGGACTGACCTCTGCAGCAGAGAGGATGTGGGCATTGGGGGTAGCATGAGCAAAAGGTGTAGGCTTGAATGAAGAGGTGGGCTGTGACCAGATACCAGGTGAATAGTCCCAGCTGTGCCAGCATTTTTGATCTGTGATTAGTCAGGGTCTTGATTTTCCTGTCTGTCAAGTTGAAGAGTTGGTAGGATTAGAGATTTCCAGCATTCTAGGACATATTGTACATTTTTATTAATAACAAATTTTAAAATCTCAGATTATACATATGACATTTTAAATATATATGTATATACAATAACGTACGTATGCATATGTAACAACTGACCGTGATATAAAGGAAAAGTAGAAGAATGTTTGTAGTTAAACGTCCTGAAGGCAGCATCTCTTACAGCACAGCCTGGTCCCAAATTCACTGTGAGTAGAAAGTGACCTTGAATTTCTGGTCCTCCTGCCTCCACTCCAGAGTGTTGCAATTGCAGGCACATACCACCATGCCCAGTTTTATGAGGTGCTGGGAATCAAACCTGGAGGTTTGTGCATGCCAGGCAGGGACTTTGCCAACCAAACGCTATCCCCAGCCCGTAACTGAATGTTTTGAAGGTCAGTATACAGAAGCCCATTCAGAATCACACTGGAAAACACAGCCAAGCAACCAGGTGCTCACAATGTAATTGAAAGGCACTCAGGAGATTGTCATCATCCTTGGAGATGTACTGAGCAAATCGTTCTTAGTTCTAAACAACAACAATGAAAAGTGGCCTCCCTCAGTTTGGTCATTGCATTCCAATGTGTTTTAAAATTACAAACGTGTTCTCACGTTTACACATACTGAGAGGTAGGTTGTACTTTCAGATCCGCAGATAAAGATGTCTTGACCACTTGGATGTCTGGAAGGACGTGGAGTTCAGTGGTGGGGGTGAACGGTCCCTTGTCAGGCCAGCCTGCCCCCAGCTCACTTGGCAGTCCTCATCCCACCGATCTTGGTTCAGGTGGCAAACATTTCCAGATCGCCCTCTAGGGGGCAGTATCATCAGGCTAATCTTGCTCCTTCCCAGTTCTTCCCAACTCCTCCAATTGTGGACCTCCTCTGGTGCTTTGCCCTGGGAATCATTCAGTGATCTTATCAGCTACTTCTCTGCAGCCAGGCGGGAAGAAGGTAGGCTGTTCCATTTTGCAGAGGAGGAAGAAGCAGATAACAGGGCATCTTTACATTCATTTATATTACGATACGGTAGGTCAGCAACCTCCTGGAGACCAACCAGGACCCTCTCCACAGGGAGGCACTGGAGAGTGGACAGACAGCCTTCTCTCTACTGATCTTCCCATCCTCCTCTTCTCTCTCCCATCCAGTGCCAGCTGCCCTGACCCTGGACCCAGGCACCGCCCACCAGCGCCTGATCTTGTCAGATGACTGCACCATCGTGGCCTACGGGAACTTGCACCCACAACCGCTGCAGGACTCACCAAAACGCTTTGATGTGGAGGTGTCGGTGCTGGGCTCCGAAGCCTTCAGTAGCGGTGTCCACTACTGGGAGGTGGTGGTGGCAGAGAAAACCCAGTGGGTGATTGGGCTGGCCCATGAGGCTGCCAGCCGCAAGGGCAGCATCCAGATCCAGCCCAGCCGTGGCTTCTACTGCATTGTTATGCATGATGGCAACCAGTACAGCGCATGCACAGAGCCCTGGACGCGGCTCAATGTCCGTGACAAGCTTGACAAGGTGGGTGTCTTCCTGGACTACGACCAGGGCCTCCTCATCTTCTACAACGCCGATGACATGTCCTGGCTCTACACCTTCCGAGAGAAGTTCCCTGGCAAGCTCTGCTCCTACTTCAGCCCTGGCCAAAGCCATGCCAATGGCAAGAATGTCCAGCCACTGAGGATCAACACTGTCCGCATCTAGTCCGGGCCAAGAGAGACCAAAGCCTCCTGGGGCTGTGACCACCAGCAAGAGCCTTGCCCAGCAGACGGGGCCTGGACTACTCAGGCCTACCGTAGCCACCCTGAGACCTCAGGCCTGTTGTTTATCCCCCAGCCTCCTCTGCCCTGCCTATGAGCTGGAGACCGTGCTCTGTGGTTGATATCCTGTAGCTCTGATCTTAATGGGATGTGACATGGCTTCTCCCCAGGGCAGCCCTTGCCCAACCCTTCATCCCTATTCTCCCAGGGATAAGAAATCTCCCCCCTTCTGCCCAGGTGGCCTAGCCTCATGACAGAGCAGTTGTGATCAACAGCTAGCAGCCCAAAAGATGACAGAATCGTCTTATGCTCACGGCCTAAGATGTGACTCACCCCTGACCATCAGAGGTGGAAGCTGGTCCTAGGGTTGTCTGAGGGTCACCCTCTCCTATCACCCCTGCACCAAGCTGAGAGCTGTGAGTTTCCTCCTCTCCCACTAATCTGCAAGTCAGAGGTGATGCTGTGGCATGTGACGGGCAGCCCACATGGTACAGTCATGCCACTGTCTTCCAGTCCATGGCCTCTGGGGCAGGGTGAGGTATAAGGGCCCCAGAGTCCAATGTAGAGCACTGTCAGGACGAAGCATCAGTGGACGGATCCAAGTCCCCAGCAGCTCTAAGGACGGAGGCCCTGCCAGCTCTCATCAGCCAGGCCTCTGTGACCTGCTGTGGGGATGGAGAGGGTGCTGGTAGCCGTTCTTGTCATCAGGTCCTGAACCGCAGGAGGGCTGTTGGTGGGTACCCCCTTGGACTTAGCATCTGGCTCCCATCTGGCTTCATCAGACAAGAATTCACAATCAGCTCCCCGGTGGCTTGCAAGATCACTGCAAGGGTTGGGGGAGGAGAGCCTTGCTGAGTTTCCAGGAACAACTCCAAGCAGCTAAAGTGATTGTATCTTGTGGCCAGGAAAGCAGTTTCCTCTCGCAGGGAGCCCCTGCCTCAGGAGCTGCTCGCTGCCACTATTCATGCCAGCCCGTGATTGTCCGAGCCTGCCTCTCTCTCTCAACTCAGGTCCCAAATCTGCATCTTTCAGATGGGTTCTTTTTGTGGAAACTTGAGTCCGAACCCAGACTTTTAACAGCAAAGAAGTCTGGGAAATGTAGTTTTTCTCTTCCAGCCTCAGCCACACAGAAAGTTAGCATGGAGGTGGAGCAGGCCCATCCACAATTCCCTTGCCACAGCATCCAGCTGTGAAGAACTCAGGAGAATCCACGGATCCACCTCAAGGCCTTGACTTTGATGCAGAACGGCTAAAGATGTCCTGTTCCATGGCTCTGTCCCTGTCCAGAGGCAACACTCCCAGGAGTAGATAGGAGGAAGAAGTACAACCAAAATGGCTCCCCAGCCTCACTGTGGTCCTGGGGCTCCAACCCTGTATTTGGGATTCGGTGAGCATGCCCATCTCCAAGGAGCCAGAATGGATGGACCTGAGGGGCTCCCACTTACAACTGCCATGCTCTGTGGCCTCCCTGAGCAAGAGGAATCCTGAGCCCTACTCGTGCCCTCGACTCCCAGACTCTGGACTACTCCTGACAGTATTTTTATTTAAAACATCGCCCTTTTTGTGCATTATGATCCATTTGTATTAAATTAAAGTTACAGGGCACAGGTGTCTGTTTCACTCTTTCTAATAAACACAAAGCAGCCCGTCCCACCCCAGAGAGGGGACATTCATTGGCATAGCCAGTTCAGTCCCCAAGCCAGCCCTGCTGGATACATCTGAGGAGCTTGGTGAGGTCCAAAGAGAGGATGTGAGTCTGAGGAGCCCACAGCCCACACTGGACAGGAAGAACTGAGTTCTAGGCCAGCACCCACACCACAGTCCTGCCAGGATGCTCTCTAGGCAGGACAGACCCCTGCCTAGAGAACGGGGTGGCCTTGGAGGCAGATAAGGGAAACCTACAGGGCAGCAGCAAGAGCCTTAAACTTTATAGACCTGGGCGCTAGACCAGGCTTCACTTCAGGAAAAACAACTTAACCTCTCAGGGCCTAGGTTGCTCCCCTCAGAGAATGGGGATAATAGTGTGGACTTACGTGATTTATTGGGAAGCTAATCAAAGTACAGTTACCAGGGCCCCCTCCTCTCCTATGGTCTGTGCCTGAAATTGCAGATATTTTCTAGACTTCCATGCCCCCTCGACCCCTGAGAAGTCCATCTTCCTCTGGCACCCCATGAGGGGTGTGAAACAAGGTAAATGGGGACGTCCTTAGGTTGCCATGGAGACAGAAGTCCATCCTACCTCCAACTGATGAACTAGGCAAAGTTCATCAGGGCCCTACCCGCACGTGCACAGGCTGTGCCCATGGCTAGCAAAAAGGTTGCCTGGTCCTCTGCAGCTCTGCAATGCATGAATGGGAACCTTGGGGTCTAGTCATGGCTTTTCATTGATTCATGCTACCTTAAAGTGTCATTCATTAGAGGGAGGGAGGTCCTCTAAGGCACTGGGTGGGTCTTTATAACCTAGAAGTGGGATGGGGGAGAAGGACCCCTACCAGGCCCTGGATTGTTTGAGTTCCTAGGCAGAAGGGTATGGGCAAGGAGAGGGGAGGGGCGAGAGGCGGGGAGACCCAGCACTGGAGCCAGAAGCCTGATCTACAGAGTGAGACCCAGGGCAGGGGAGAGATGGATGGAAGGGGAGTGAGCGAAGGAAGGAGGGAGAGAGGAGAGAAGGAGGGAGGGAGGAGAGAGGAGGGAGGGAGAGAAGGAGGGAGGGAGGGAGGTCTACACAGTTAAAGGGAAAACTGGTCGGAAAGACTAAGTGACTGTCTCAAGCCCATTCCGGGTTCCCATATACAGTCTGTAAGCAAAGTGCTAGTACATTTTCCACTTTATCTAACCACAAAGAGGAGCCCATGAGGATAGTGTCATTATCTCAGCGTTAGAGCCAAGAAGCAGTGCTGCCCAGGGGATCCACAGCTATTCCTTGGCAGAGCTGGAAGCACTAAGGCCACACTCCATTGGACCTCTCTGGAGGGACTGTTCTCAACTCAGGACCGTTCAGTGATGAGGCAGCCACCAGAACTCGGATCCTGGGCTTTTACACCACGGGTCCCCTATGACTCAAAGATGGGCTCATGAAGCCTACTGTGTGACTCTGAGCAGGTCCCTTATCCTCACTGGCCTCAGTTTCCCCATGTCTACTTGGGAGAGCTTAGAGATCTACTTGATTACCAGGGTAAGTGGAATGTTGGGTCCCACAACTTGGGACACATTGGGTTATTATCTCTTTGTCCTTCTCTCTGGGGTAGAGGCAGAGACAGAAAACAACAAAGATAAAGTCTCTTGGCAGTACACAGCTCACCTCAGAGACTCTGGGGACACACCTTCCCTCTTGCCAGGGAGGCCATCCCACGAGGCTGGCTGCTCACACTTGGACAGATTCCTCTCCTGCCCGAGTCTCGACTCTGCTCAGTGACCCCAAGCTCACCACCAGCTCAGCTCAGAACCGGGTCATCACCCCAGGAGGTCAGTTGCAGAAGCCTGGATACAGGCTTAAATGCTGGGGGCTGCTTGAAGGCTGGGGGGCGGGGAGGAGCAGACGGGGGTGGGGGGTGGGGGGTGGGCAATGCAGCGCTGGCCAAGGTGCTGAATTTGGATCCTGGCTGTCCACCAGGTCCTTATTCTGTGAACCCTGGACCACTTGGAGGAGGAACCACCGAGAGCAGAACACAGGTGGGGTACACAGGAATATCAGGAGACAGAGCAATGCCTTTCTTTTTAAATGTGCTTATCTTCCTGGTTTTATCTTCTACCTTTATACAAATTTATACAAATGGTTCTTTACCCTAAATACAGAAGTCTTCCAGGGGTTGGGGAGATGATTCCGTGGGTAAAGAACTTGTGCAAGCATGAGGAAGTGAATTTAGATCCACAGGACACACATACGAAGCTGGGTGCCTCCGCACCACTTGGCAGGCCCAGCACGGGGGGGCGGGGAGGGGGGAGGGAGCCGAGAGTGGGTGAAGACAAACAGATCTGGGTTTATTAGACCCTATCACAAAACTCAGATGGTGAACAATAGAGGAATACACCCGTAGCCTTGGCCTCTGGTGCCCATACACATGGGCAAACATACACATTCTTACAACATACACAAACAGTTTTTATCTGCTCCCAAGTTTTTAACAGTTCTGTCATCTTTCTTATTATTGTAAAGTGTTCCTCCCTTACCCTAGGAATCAGGTGAAACGAGGAAAGCATTGACCATATGCCTGGGGGAGTCCTGCCCTGATGTCACAACAAGCATAGCCTGTCATGACAGCTGACATTAAAGGCACAAAGGGTCAGGTCCCAGTGCAGTCCCCCAAAACAATGGGCCTAGGTGTGACTGTGTCTGGATCCTGAAGGAGCCTGAGTGATCCTCTGACCCACCTGAATCCCGGAGAGGGTTAGTTAACAGCTCAAGGCTTGAAGCATGGAGAAGAGGGGAGACCGTAATCCCACACAGCCAGCTAAGAGGGTCCCAGCCCACACAAGCAGAGGGGGAGCCCAGCACGGTAGGGGCAGGGATAAGGGGGGACCTCATGTAAAGAGGTCAGGATGTCGGACCGCAGCACCCCAAGGATGAAGAAAGACATGGGAGTGACAGTATTAGAAAGTCCTCTGGGTGGATACTGAGCATGGATGGGCACTCTGGGGACAACTGGCATACGGCTTGAGAGGTGTCCATCCCCGACCCATTCATATTTAGAGTGGAGACATCTCCCAGAAGATTGACAGCTGAAGATGGGATTTCAGGCACTGTGACAAGCATGTGGGGTAAAGATGACACCGGGGTTGCCTATAACACCGCGCAGGTAGCGGCAGCTTCCACTCTTGTCACAGGCAGGCCGGAAATACCAGAGCTTTTGTCAGCCAAGCCAGCCTAACCCTCACCCTTACTCCTACCGGCATCCCAGTCTGGGATGACGCTCACACACTACAGCCCAGCAGTTCCCAGGCGCCTCCTCCTGAGGGGAAAGATGCTGTGCATACAATGGCAATCCCAGCACTCGGGGCCACAATTAAGGTCCCTTATGCAATGGACAGTGTGCTTCCATTCTTCACGCCTCTGCTTGGGCAAGACTCTCCCCCTCCTGGCTAACTTGCCATGTCTAGATCATCCTAGGCTAGCAGAGTCCTGGAGCTGGAGCACTTTTGGTATCCAACGGTTGTGTGTCTTAAGATGGAGACCACTTCTGCAGGCTGCAAACGGGGCGGGGGGGCAGAAAAAGGTGCTGGCTGGGGTCATGTAATCACCATGTCTCCAAGTGTGGAGAAACTTTAGGGACCAGAAACAGAACTCTACCCCAGAGAAGCTTACCTGGAAGTACCTCACTGGTCACCCCAACTCTGTCACCCCAGCCAGACTGCTCAGGGAGAAGTGGCTCAGTGAGTGGTTTGTCTGCATTTGAAACAAGTTATAAAGTAACTTGCATTCATTTTTTTAAACAATCTGGGAGCTGGAGAGATGACTCAGGGGCTAAGAGCACTGGCTGCTCTTCCAGAGGACCCAGGTTCAATTCCCAGCACCCACACAGCAGCTCACAATTCTCTGTGACTCCAGTTCCAAGGGATCCAACACCCTCCCCTCATACAGACATACTTGCAGGCAAAACACTAATGCACATGAAATAAAAACAAATAATAAATAATAAAAACTATCAGACAAAAAGAAGAACATAATTTTCTTCATCCTGCATTTAGAAACTGTCAGCTACTAATACTCCGTTGCATTCTCCCAGGCATTTTTGCCTGCACATTAACAAAAATGTTATTTCTTCTACAAAAGTATGATCATTCTTTTCATTACTACTCTTTCTACATATCCTGTAGTAGATTCCTTCTAATGGAGCTGTGGGTCAAGAGGTTTGCCCATTTCTTTCCTAAGTAAATAATATGGAAAGTACAGTCAAGATGCCCAAGGTGAAACTCACCCATTATTGGCCACTGTTCAAACACTGATAGAGCATTTTGGCAAAATAGGGTTTAGTCTTTTCCCCCAAGTGATTATATATTTTACAAAAAATCAGAGTGCTGGGAAGAAGGTTCAGTTAGTGTTGCTCACACATAAGGAGCTTAGTTCTGATCTTCTGTGTCTATGTAAGAAGCCCAGTGTGATGGAGCCATCCAGACTCCAGAGCTGGGAGGACAGAGGCAGGTGTCCCTGGACCTCACTGTCTAGTCATCCAGACTCCAGAGCTGGGAGGACAGAGGCAGGTGTCCCTGGACCTCACTGTCTAGTCATCCAGACTCCAGAGCTGGGAGGACAGAGGCAGGTGTGTCCCTGGACCTCACTGTCTAGCCAGCCTAAACAATCGGTAGAGACACTGTCTCAAACATTAAGGTGGAGGAGGAGCCAATGAGATAGCTCAACAGATAGGGGCACTCGCTGTCAACCCCTTACTGAAGCCCATGTGTTGGAAGGAAAGAACCAGTTCTATAGCATCCATTTACTATGGTGTTTGACCTGCATCTACCCTGTCCCATTCTGAGCAGGGAGTGCACTGTAGCAGGAGGCTAAAGCCTGTTGGTCCTGGTGCAACACCTCCTGCCCACTCCCTCACAGGAATGAGACGCCCTCAGAGATCCTGAGTACCTGCCACGTCCAGCCCTCCTGAGCGG